CCCCGTCGCTCGGTGGACGCACATCAGCCCTGCCCCAGCTGCTGCTTGGGGAAAACCAAGCCACCGGCCACGGCTTTTCCTGGCGCTATTCTTGTTCCCGGCTCAAAACTCTTGCTGAGTTTTTTTCCAACTGAATTCAAAGGAGCTTGGGGCTCTCCCACACCCGCAAAAGCAAAGTTCCCAGGAAGGGGAGTGGAAAACCAAGTTCCTCGGCAGGTCGCACCGTTACCTCGGCATTGCCCGAGCCCCCCGTGGAGAGGGAGGGAGGGAGGGATGCTGCTCATCCCTCGGGATGCAGCCACCAGCAAGGAAGGTGCCGTGGGACATCCCCGGGCGCTTCCAGCCGGGATGTGGATGGGTTATTCCCAGCCTCTGCCTTGCAGCACGGCGGAGATGCCGCCCAGGTGCCCACGGGTGACGATGTCGGAGGTGGCGCAGAGCAGGACACCGCGGTCCAAGGCTCCAGAGGCTGAAATGGGGAGGCGGTTTGGGAGAGATGCCCACAAGGAAGAGCCCTGGCTGTCCTGGGCAGCATCCCCCAGCTGTGCCCAGATGTTGGTGGGAGGGAGGATTTCTAGCAGGCACAGCAGAGCCGGTGTCCTCGCTGCAGTCTCCTGGTGTCGGTCACCTCCTTGAAGCCACCAAGGGCCACTATGGAGGGAGTGACACATGGTTGGGTCCTGGCTGAGCCGTCCCGCCGCCGAGCATCCCGCGGGCAGGGAAGAGCCATGGATGCTCCGGGTTCCGTAGGAGCCACATCTCGGCACAGACAGCACAGCAAGGGGTAGGGGGGGAGGTTACATGGGACAGGGACCTTTCCGAGCTCCCGGTCACCCCAGAGACCAGCGTGGGGCTCCCTGCCCTGGGGGGGTGACTGCCACCTGGGGGCGATCCTGGTCCCCCGCAGCAGGTCGGGAGGAGACAGCCCTGGCTGGGGGATGCTCAGGGAGGAGAGGTTTGACCAAATCACTCAGTTACAGCTTCAGCTGCAGAAAAACGCAGCAAACACCGGGATGGGGACAAAGCCCCCTGCGGTGGGGATGGGGACAAAGCCCCCTGCGCCCTACAAGTGGGGTTATGCCCCCCAACACACCCTGGGCTACGACACGGTGGGCTCTGGCTCTCTGCAAATTTGGGTTTGTATAATACTCGGCGTCAGCTGGCGTTTCTCTACTGCCGCAGTCGCCTTGGAGCAGTGTCCCTGAGCAGATGGGGACAAGCTCTGCGTCCCCTGGGAGCATCCCTCCCTCGCCTCCTGCTCTCCAACACCGGGGGGGGGTAGTGTCTTATGGCATTTTTTCCTTCCTCAGGAAATGGCTACATTGAAGGCAAAGAGCTGGAAAACTTCTTCCAGGAGCTGGAAAGTGCGAGGAAGGGGGCGGGTGTGGTAAGGGCTTTGCTGGTTTTGCTGTTTTTCTCCCTGGTTTTGCTCCTTCCTCCCTCCATTCCCTCCCACCTGAGGGTGCAGGTTGACATCAGCCCCATCTCCTTGGGGAATGGCACCTCCAAGGAGGGAAGCCGGGGGGGGACACCGGCACGGGGAGGCGGGGTAAATGCTCCCATGCCCTCTCCTTGCCGGCAGGACTCCAAGTACGACAACTTGGGCGACAAGATGAAGGAGTTCATGCACAAGTACGACAAAAACGCGGACGGGAAAATTGAGATGGCGGAGGTAAGTGATGCTGGCCTGGTGGACCCCCGGGATGCTCGTGGTCCTCTCCACCCCCAGGATGCTCATGGTCCTCCATCCCTGGGATGCTTATGGTCCTCCATCCCTGGAATGCTTGTGGTCCTCTCCCCTTGGGATGCTCATGGTCCTCCACCCCCGGGATGCTCATGATCCTCTCTCCTTGGGATGCTCGTGGTCCTCCCCTCCCCAGGATGCTCGTGCATCCTCCCCTCTCCAGGATGCTCGTGGTCCTCCCCACTGGGATGCTCGTGCTCCCCACTAACGCTCGTGTTCCCCACAGCTGGCCCAGATCCTGCCCACGGAGGAGAATTTCCTGCTGTGTTTCCGCCAGCACGTGGGCTCCAGCTCAGAGTTCATGGAGGTGAGCAGGGCAGGCGGTGCCTCCCACCGGATTTGATCCCTGGTCCCCGGCTCCACCACAGGGAAACAACTGGGAGCTGGCATTGCCCAACCCACTCCCCCTGTCCCGGTCTCCCCCAAACTCTTGGCTTTAACTCAGCATCGGGAGGCGATGTGGGGCATCCTGCTATGGGTGCTGCTGGCTTTGCGGGGGGAGAGCGGGTGCGTGATGAGTTTCCCCAGTCCTCAGCACTCCTCAGGCACCTCGTCCCGGTCTCCAGGGGAGGTGAGCTGCGGGGATTTGGAGCTGTTTGTGTAAATTTCCCCTCTAATGGTCAGTCCTTAGTGCTCAAGGGATGCGCCGAAGCAGATGACGCTGCTCTGGGCCACCCCAAAACCTCGCATGGGGCGAAACCCACCTGCAAGGCGGGAGGGAAACTGCCGACGGGGACCGAAACTCGGCTGGGGGTGGAGGGGGACGTGCAGCATCCCCGGCGGGGGAGAGCTCGTGCTCGGAAAATGAGGCTGAGGTAGAGGTGATGGCCGAAAGAGGATCCCCCCCCCCGTGGCACGGGGGGGTGGG